AGTTATTCTTAATGCCTGCTACCAGGTCGGACTCAGTCAGTTCCCCCTTGAAATCAATGAAACCAGGCTGTAGAAAGACTACCGCTTTTGTCCACAGGGGCCGTCAGAATCAACACAAAATGAAATCATTGCTGCTTTAAATTAATTGTGAATAATATAAATAAATATGTGTGATTACTGAAGCAGTTAGGGGTCATTGCAATGTTTTTCAGTTTAACCAGGTTCATGTTATTAATAGTCTTTATATAATCATAAAGACATTTCTCTGTAAAATTGAAAATTGTTCACGTTCATGTTCATGTACTATGTATTGATGATTAGAATTTCTGTTTACAATATGAAATTGAGAGGTAGAATAAGAGTAATACGTTCTGCAGTGAATTGTATTTGATGGAGATTCAGGTTGAGTTCCTGAATGATGTCCAGATCCTGGTTTCCTACACTGTGTGCACGCTGTCTGTCTGCCACACACATACGGGATGTGTGTGAGAATGACCTTGTCTTGTATCTCAGATCGCCAAGCAGCAGCAGCAGCTGATACAGCAGCAGCACAAGATCAACCTGCTTCAGCAGCAGATCCAGGTCAGCTCCTCCCAAGACTTCCTCACACAGCACAGCCAGCAGCACTAGCATGGACAGTCATTACAAATGATCAGAAATCTGTGTTTCATACAAATGAGGCAAGAACTTTTATGTAAGGTGTATCTGTCCTGCCTCGTCCCAGCAGGTGAACATGCCCTACGTGATGATCCCGGCTTTCCACCCCAACACCCAATCCCTCTCTGTCACCTCTGACCCCCAGATGACTTTGCCACTGCAACCAATCCCCTGCAAGCCAGGTCAGTCATCAAGCTAGTAAGGGGGGTTTCAGTTTTAAACACTGGAATTTGGTGCTCCACTCTGCTAACATTAGTTTCTGGGTGAAGGTGTATAGGGGTACACTTTCCTTCTTTGAAGATAAACTACAAGATCACGCTGTAGTCTGTCCGGATGCTGTGCTGTGCCCTTGCAGTCGAGTTCTACCTTTTTTGGTCCGTCAACATAAATTTATTAACAGCATTAAAAAAATCGATTTACAATCACAGAAGATAAGAATCGCGATTCTTATGTGAATGTCAATAGACCTCATTGAAATAAATGAGGGGGCTGTGCTTTTTAGGCAGCGCCGTTGTGTATCTGAACACAATGGTATTTGAGTTGAAGATGGTTTTCACAGTACACAAAACGTATCGAAACTCCCGAAGAAAGGTCTACACCCAGTACTGTAAAGCATAATCCTGGGCTATTGTTCTAACCTATAAAAGGGTCAACCCCCTCCCCACTACTGCTTTATGTTATGCTATAGTGTTGCCTGAGCAACTTTAGCGAGGCCTTGTACACAGGTGGGGCTCAATAAGGTTCCATACTTTATTAAGTCTGCCTTCAGTAATCATTGTGGTCTCTTGATAATCATCCAAGGTTTCTCTACACCAGGCCTTTAGTGCTGTAAAAACTGGGGTTTTGTCAGTTCTTTCATGGTCTATTCTTACATTCCAAAGGAAGAAAGAACATTCATCTTATGTGATAATGACTGTGTGCTTTGAAGGCCACAAACTTTTTGCTGAAAAGTTGTAGCCATTATTATAGTTCATGAGTTGCGATGCATGTGGAAACACCTTCTTATGCACTTCAATTCAAAGCCTACTTTATAGAAAATGGGAAGACATTAGTGAGATACAAATGTAGACTTTAGTTAAACAGTATGGCTGATAGTACCTTTCACACACTTATGCTTGTGCAGTTATACAGGCTATAGAGGGCACCGCGAAAAAAGCCCCAGCTTTGTGCAGTCTTGCTTTTACAAGTCTTAAAAGCTGTGCTCGTGGATGACCTTGTCCTCTCTAGCTTTTCAAACCTAAAAGACACAAGGCCAGTCTTTAACATTGTAGGGGGGCTTTAAGGATAATCATTCATTTGCTTTCTTTATTTCAAGAAATGTGTGTTCATGCGTCAGAATGTTTTGGCAGATGAATGTAAAAAAATTGTCAAAAGACTGTTGGGTTATATGGAAGAGGTCAGCTATAGTCAGAAAGTTAAAGTCATCTTTTCTTTCAAGATATGGATAGAGTAAGGACGTATGCTGTTTAATTGAATTCTGGAGCTGTCTTTGATTTTTTTGCTCATTTACATATAACTTCATTATCCCTGTAATTTCCCTGGAAGTCAAGACTAAGTGCACCTCATTCTTCGCTATGCTGTAAATTATTTTAATGCTATCACTAACGCTATGATAAAACATTTACTACATCCGAAGGGGCTTCATGGCAATCACTTTTTTTTAAGAATTCAAGTTCAACAGCTACTTTATTAAAAATGTATTTTGATTCAAGCCTAATCCTAAACTGCACTGTAGAATTGAATTGTTCCATTCATTTGCAGCGTGCCTAACACAAGACTCCTTTGTTGTTGTGCTAATGTTACCGTTAGTCTGAGAACAGCCTAACCATTACCCACGATTTTTTACACATTACTTTTAGAGGGTTTGTTAGCATGACTCATTAGTTTCCTTAATTTTGCAATAAGGATGTTCTCTTTATTAGCCTCATTTACTGAAAGGGCAAGGCCTGCAAGTCATGGCCTGTCGTGCTTATATACTGTGAATTGGCTTTGGGCGATATGATGATTTAACATGAGATGATGATGAGATTTTGCCATGTGATTTTTATTGTGGTAGCTAACCACCCTTTAATCTAATCTAGTTATTAAATATAGAGACCCAGAGTGTTCAAAACATAGTTAATAAATGAGACATTATGAAATTAATATTCATATGATATGATATATGAAAATACAAACAAAATCTATCAAATATATATATATAAATTCATCTTCTCTGCTATTAAAGACAACAGTCGACTTTGGGAACAGGGACATTTTAATAACTAAAGTCTGCTGGACTAACATTTCATAATAGTCTAAAATGCTTTTAATTATTTTTCAGTTTCATTGTTATATCATTTTTATGATTGTTTATTTGATAACATCTAATCTTCTTATTTAATTTTGAACACTTTGGGACTCCATACATACTACATAGTTAATCCCCCCATGTTGTAGTGGGCGCTTGGTACAGTGTGATTGGCCACTTCCTGTATTTTAATTAATTTATATGTTTCCATTCTTCTAATGTATGTTCATTGTTATTGTGTTGTAAGGTCAAAATTAATTAAATGAAAAGCAAATGAACAATGTAGAGTGTAAACTATAGAAGCTGCCATCACAGTTACTTCCTGACAGCTAGCTAATGCTAATAGTCACCAAACTTTGTGTTCTGTAGCTCCTGAGCCTCTCTGTCTCTGTGCAGAGTAACCACACTGGTATTTGAGCTTTATTCAGTACATTTGATATCAAGTTTGAGCTTCAGCCAATGATAATGTTTTACACTTTCCACAGCTGTGGACTATCCCATGCAGCTGCTGCAGAACCCTCACCCCACCCCCGTGAAGAGGAGCAGTGGTTCCTTCCGACAGGTACAATAGTACTACAGAATATGTGTTGTGTTTAAATGTTGACCTCAATGCAGCAAACTCAGTTCCTTCAAATGCAAACATTTCTAATGCATTTTAGAGATAGACCTGCAAGAATAGTGACTCATGGCAGTGTGTTTGTTTACTTTACAGTGTGTGTATGTACTATATACTGCATAGTTTGTGTGTGTGGATTAAGGTGCATTAAAGAAAGTGACAGCCTCCTGATTAAACAGTGAATGTACTTTTCTTGTACTTGGGAGGCTGAAAAGGGCTTTTTGAATACACCACACCCTCTGTTCAAAGCTTTAATTTGTGTAGTATAGCTGTGTGTGTGAGTGTGTTCTTGCCTGTGTGTGTGTGTAGAGTGAGGTGTATTTGCACGGCTGCTTCTCAAGCAGAGATAGACCAACACAGTTTAAATAAACAAAAGGAAAGAGAAGATGAGGTGAACAAGCAGACAAAAGACCAGAGACGCTACAAAGGTGTGACAGATGCGCTTGGACATGCTAAATCTGCCATGCATAACCGGAATACACGCACACCCTCGCCCTTACAGTTATGCCTGAGTGTGTGTAAGGGGCCCCACCCCTGCTCATCTGCTCTCCCTGTGTGTTTAGGAAGCCAGTCAGCCCCTGAACCTGACCTCCAAGCCAAAGGGGCTGGAGCTGGGGAAAACACCCAGTCCACAGAGCATGGAGCTGGGATCGCTGGCGCTGCAGGGGGCCTACAGGCACAGAGATCTCCACAGAGAAGTGTCCCACAGCCCGCCACGATCTGCCCTCAGTGAGTTATGTTGACAGTCACGCTGTCGTGACAGAAAGTGTGAATTTGTGATCCCAAAAGGGGAAAAACTGTTGCTTCCTCACAGATCCTCTGAGATGCTTGAGTCAAAGTCACCCTCTGTATTTCTGTCACAGTAACAGGGTTTAAAGGTCTAGTGTGTAACATTTTTTAAATAATAATATAGCTAATATTCATAGGTATGTTTTCATTGGTATATAATTAGAATGAGTTGTTTTTATCTACAGAGGGAGCAGGTCCTCTGCAAGCCACCTCAAGCACTGGTCCTAGAAAGGGCCTTTGACAATATTTTGCGAGTTTCACAGCCACCATAGTTTCTCCTACACACTGGGAACAGGAAGTTGAGGCGAGGGGGATGTAATCTGTGACAACAACACTAGATGCCACCAAATCCTACAAACTGGTCCTTCTAACTGTTGCCTTTGGGCCACGTTAGGCCTTTTTTGCACTTATGAAACTTCTACTGAAGGAACCTGTGGAGTTTTGTTTTGTGTGTATCTTTTTGTTTGTGGGGCTGCTGTCTAGTGCCTACTGTGTTTGATTCTACCACTAGGATGCAACAAAGCAAAAGTCAAAAGATTCTACACAGTGGCATTTAATTTTAAAGGAGAGACATTGTCACATAGATAACCCCCCATCTATTGTTTTTCATTTGTTGCTTGTAGATCTTTCCTTAAAAAAATTAAATACTGCAAAGGAAGGGAAGCATTTTACATTTCCACTTGTTTAGAACTGTAAACAGATGAGAATTAGGAGAGAAAAAAGAAAATACAGAAAGTCAAAGACATTATACCACCCAGTGTTTGACAGATGAGAGACACTGCAGTAATGAGCCATTGGCAACAAACATCTACTGTAGTTCAATTCAAAGCAGGAACTGTGGGTTATCACTATAGATATGCTTAGGAAACAAACAGAGGCTATTGGGACCTGTGGACATATGAAAAACTGAGCGTTACTTAATAATAAGAACACTGAATAAGTAATAAGATAGAATAAGTTACTGTTAATACACGTAATGAAAAGGACAAAGGAAATTCAAATAGATTTAACCTCAATCTCTATTTTGTATGAAAAACATGCAGACATTCAAGCCTAACCACGTTACAGACGCTGGATTTCCCACAATTCTAATTCTAAATTTGCACATTACGAATGTTTTTGACTACAGTGACATGTGTTTTGATAGTTTCTGTTGTTTATAAGGAACCAACGCTGTAGGCAGACTGCTCTGGGCAGCATGCACTGGAATTAATTACTACAATTTATATTTTTTATCTTTTCCCTGATAGTTTGATTAAGTTGCAATTTAAACTGGTGGCTTTAAAGAAATAAGAGGATCTGAAAAGTTGGCCACACTGAATGCACTGAACAAGGGTACTGGGCGAAAGAAACGCAAATAAATTGAAAACACGTAGGAAATGATGGGAGACAAATCTGATGACATTGCTCAAAAAACATATGAGGACATATTGAACATATTTTCTCCTGTATATTGGGGCATCATCTTGTTCCTCATTTTTTGTTCTCTTCCTCCTTGTCTTGGTTTTTGTCTCCAGGTTTCCTCGGAGACGGCGACGTGGTCACCCAGGCCATCCATGATGCCCAGCGGCTCCTGAGGAGCCACAGCACCGGCGGGCGAGAGAGGGAGAGGGACAGGGAGAGAGAGCGAGACGGTGGCGGGAAGATGGTGAGCTAATGTCCAAACTGCACGGTCCCTACATACATTGACAGGGTTTGCACCTCGCTATGTAAACATGATGGCAGATTTACATGTAATTGTCATCTCAGGTATCGTGAATCACCTGCAGCACTTTTACATTAAAGTCACAAAGGCTCCCTAGTCTGACCACAACATTTCCGTAACACGGCACAAGTCTGAACTGAATGCCGTGCGGTTAGATTAAGGCCACAGCAGCTCAAGATAAAACACAGAGGGAAAGTAAATGCACATTGCACCACTCATTTTTAACTTGAATGAATATTACATACAATTTATATATTTTTATTATAGTTTATATGTTCTATTATATTTTCATTTCATTTCATTATCATTTTCATTTTTATTTATAGCCTTTTAGCTTGAGTTGATTCTATTGCAGAGTTCAAACACTACAGATGAAAACACTGGTCAATTTTTTTTGCACATTTAGGAGGTTTTTTTACTGCAGTTTGTCTATTTGCTTCAGTAGAACTTTAACCAAAAAGTTTGATTGAGCATCAGATAATGCCTCGTTTGCATATTTATACAAAAAAAAAATGCTTTAATGTAGTTAAGTAATCAACTGAAGAGGTTTCATGGTGATATCTATTGGTTTACATTTCTACCCCCTTTAATACTAACAGGACTACTAATACTACATTTATTTAGAACACCTGCATCAGAGGTGTCTGCTACAGTCCGTTCACTGGAACCTGCAATAACAGGGGTCTGGCCACTTAGGGCCTGCGGAAACAAGTTGTGAACAGTGACATATCATCCCCTTTTTAAGTTGATATGGTGAAACAGTTGCTTATGTTCACATCCAGCTGTTACGAAGCAACATTATCATTCATCTGGAGTCATGTTTCTGCCCAACTGGCAAATATAAGTCCAATATTCACTCTCTTTTAGCTCTGTTTTTGGTCTCAGAATCAGAATTGGCCAATCAGAATTGAGGGACTGTGGTATAAATTTACATAATGGACAGCTGTGTCTAAATTACAGAAAGCCATTAGTTTAACACATAGGTACGGAGGCTAATGTCATGCTTTTTATGTCTGAAATTCCTACTTCCACATATATGCACTCACAGAATAGAAAGCCTGTGAAATGGATTGCATTTTGAAGTTTCACCACTGAAATTCAGAATAATTAAATTATTTTATGATTGTTCGTAAAAGGGCAAAATACATCTGTCAGACCTTACAGATCCCCTCCAGACATATACTGTATACAAATAATCTGCTAGGAACAATAATGTGTGTCTGAAAATCCTTAAAAAGTCATCTCCTCCTTCTACCTCATTAAAAATTTTTCCTGCTGGACACCAGATGTCTCCTACTTCACTGTAAAGTCCATTCTCAGTGGATGTGCACTGGTGGCTTCAACTCTACATCACACTCTATAAGTTGCATACTGACTATTTGTGATGTCACAAATCATGGTGGTAGGCCCCGCCCCTTAAAATCAGCTTTTCAGTGAGCACAGAGAAACTTTCCACTTTCAGCAGATGAATGTGAAAACATCCTTCTAGTGTCTTAACCCTGCACAGACAGCATTCAAACAGCACACTGTAGGAACTACAGTGTTTTTTACTGGAGGGGGACTTTAATGTAACAGCTGGAGTTTGTAATGCAACTACCGTCTTACTGAACAAATGATATGAGGAAACACTCGCTATCTGTCTCTCTTTCCCTGACTGACATCTATAGGGGTCTAATCGGGGGTCAGAGTCAGGTTTAATGTTACAGGGAGTCATGCTCCTGGGATTTAGCCGTCTGAAGAATATCGCAGCTGCAGTGTAACCACACACAGAAGTATTTTAGGTGCTGCCTTCTGCAAAATGCTGTTAAGTAAACACAGTGTGGAAATGACAAAGAAGTTAAGTCTCTGTTGTTTCCATTCTTAGTAAGTGAAAAGGGGCTGCATATTCAGTGTCCCTTGACAAAGATGGTATCAACTGCTGTTATTCTCCTTTTTTGTGAGTACATTTGCGGTCTACAGCAAAGCAAAATGGAAACTCTGTATTTAGAAATTTTGCATCTATGTAAACTGTCTGCAAAAACCGTGCTCGTTATTTTTTTGTTTTGGTTCTTGTAAAAATTGTCTTCTATTCCGGTCTCGGTTTTGATTCTTTGAGGTGGCTGAAGCTTTGGTCTCAGCCTCGTCCTGGAGCAACAGCTGTTGCAGCCTCACAATACCACAAAGGCCTCAGTGTGGCATTGACTGAGCCACCTGCCCTCTCTCTTTGTCCACAGTAATACTGTACTCTGTGGCTCTCCTCCATTATCCTGCTCCATCTCGCCTCTGTGGCTGCTATAACACCAACACTGATGGCTGACCTATTTTGGTATTACACTCCACTGCATGGGGATAAATAATGTTTTACGGCACGGGAACGGATGGCGCGTACACTGATGGTGTGATAGTTTTGCAAATTCAGAGTTGTCACATTCCCAACTCGGCCTTTTCTCCTTCACCTTTCCTCCCTCAAACAATAAACACCATTCTTCCTCCGACACAGCGTTGTCATTTCCTTTCTTTGCATTTACAGCTCTGCATTTAAACAGCAGCTGATATGGTGAGCGTGCAGTTTCTTTACCTTAAATAGCACTCTGTGTGACACATGCGTGCCTCGTAACACACCACATGGACATTGGGTCATCTTTTTTACTGCAGTCGAAATTCAAATGCTCCCTTTGTGCTCAAGTGTGAATATTTGAGTGACTCAACCACATATCTGACTTCATCTGTCTTTGTCTTTTCCACGTCTGCAGGAGTATAAAGAGTCTCCCCGCAGCGAGAGAATTTCTCACTCCGAGCGGGGTGAGGACAGACACGGCCTGCCGTCCACTGAGGACCACCTCAGCAGCGACTCTGAGGGTAGGTGTCCCTGCAGGAGCCTGTTTGATAACAATGGCCTTATCTTCACTGATAACACATTAAACAACTTCAACCATGCTAGTTATTAAAAAGTGTTTTATTATCGCCCCTGGAGAATATCAGATTGACATTTAAATATCCCAAAATAACTTCCACCACCTTCATATTCAACTCTGTCAATATCAATCAACAGCTTATTGAAGTGTGGTTGCTTTGATAAGAAATGGAACAAAAGTTTCTTGTATACACCTCAGGATGGAGAATGTGGGTGGGGAGAGTGAATCATAACTGTGCTGAAATCGGATGTTTGTGGGTGAAGAGTAAAGGTTAATAACCAGGCGAAGTAACAGTTTAAAGATGTAAAACACCAGTTTTAGAGGGAAAGGTTAATGACAAGAATAAAAATAGAAATATTTAAGAACCAATGAGTAACATCTTCCAGACGCAGCAGTCTGCTGTAATCCTCTGACTGTAGGCCTCTTTTCTGTAGGTGCTCTGCCTGTCTCGGCCCCAGGCAGCTACGCCGAGGCCCGACCCCCTCCCTCCTCGGGCCACATCAAGAGACCCATGAACGCCTTCATGGTGTGGGCCAAGGACGAGCGCAGGAGGATCCTGCAGGCCTTCCCCGACATGCACAACTCCTCCATCAGCAAGATCCTGGGTGAGCCTATAGCACTTGGTAGGGGTGGGTTTCACTCTCTATTCTGAGACGCTGTCTGGCACATGTGAGGGCACGGACAGCCACCTGCTTCACACACACATGCACACACACGCATTCACACACACACACACGCACGCGCGCACACACACACACTGGCCTGAATCCCTTTCCTTGGACCAAACATTTACATTCCATTCTATTGTGGAGAGCTTGTTGTTGTGAGCAACCACACTTCACACACACACACACAGACAGACATCGAATTCTCCATATATCACGATTATCATACGTACTCATCACTCATATACACTAATTTACTAATATATATAGTATATATATAATAATATATATATATATATATATAAACCGTTACTCTACTTAACGACACAATATCATTACTTATCACTGCTTAATCTTTATTTACAGAGAATTGTTTTCTCCTGTAAACTCTATGAGATCCATGTTTATGACAGTTTTCACACCAATTACTGCACCAGCTGATCTCACACCTCTCTGGCTGAAGATGTGTTAACCACACCTTTCACCCAATCAAATCATCTTTGGTGTTATTTAAAAAAATATGCTTTTCCATGTACCACAGTAACAATGACTATATCATAATGACAGCTTTCAATTGAGGAGTAGATCACGATGAATGTAAAATGAATACAAATGTAGATAATTAAAAATACAATAAAACATATATTTATCATTAATCCTACCAATTTAAAGGACCAGTGTGTAGGATTTGGTTGCAGATTGCAACCAACTGAATACAGCTCAGTGTTCCAAACTGTGTAGGAGAAACTACAGTGGCCGCAAAACTCACGAAAGGCCCAATCCAGAGCCAGTGTTTGTCCGTTCAGGGCTACTGTAGAAACATAGTAGTTGCACATTGTGGTCTCCGTAGAAGAGAACACAACTATTCTTATTTTCAGGTGATTATACACTAATGAAAACATACCTAAATGTTACACACTGGACCTTTTAAGGCAAGAATGTGAAACTTAAAAAAAAACAATTACACTAACCCAATCTTTTACAAATTTAAATGTTCAATTCAACCCAACACTCCCGGTTCCATAATGCAACTTGTACAGTGTGATGTAGAAACTTGAAGCCAACAGTGCACATACACTGAGAATGTAGGAGACATATAAAAAAAATCTCTTATAACGTCTTAACTCATGCCTGAAGGGGACTTTTAAAGTAAATCCCAGCCAAAACAAATCCTGAAACTCTAAATAGCTATTCAGCTGAAAAGCTGAATACACATTTTAAGCAGGCTCTCTTCCCCTCATCCTCCTTGTGCCAATGTGTCTCTGTCTTTAGGCTCCAGGTGGAAGGGCATGTCCAACCAGGAGAAGCAGCCGTACTATGAAGAGCAGGCGAGGCTTAGCAGGCAGCATCTGGAGCGCTACCCGGACTACAAGTACAAACCCCGGCCCAAACGGACCTGCATCGTGGAGGGACGGAGGCTGAGGGTGGGCGAGTACAAGGCCATGATGAAGAGCCGCCGGCAGGAGCAGAGAGCAACCTACACACACAGGTAGAAACCAGCGCACGCACAGAGGCCAACGGGCTTTATATTAAACAATTCTGAGATAATGCCAGAGTTCGACCCTGGCACACAACACTGACAATTCACTCCATTGACAAGAGTTTGATATGCACTTTCACACATTGTAGACAATTCCTGCAGCTCCCAAAGCTCTTTTTTATTCTTGAAGGCACAAACAAAAGTGGAGCATTGAGCCGGGCTTTTTTTCAGTCTGTCCTCGACGATGAATAGCATCCGTCGCCATTGTTCCCTCAAACTCCTCCAACTAGTTAAGCTGGAGAAGTTCGAGGTTGGAAATGTTAACAGTGGTTGGTTTTGAGTGTTTTTCTGTTTCTGTGTTTGTGGAAAAAATCTAACAAAGATACACTCAGGTCAAAGGTCAAACTGAAGTTAAGATTTATTTCTGCTAAGAAATCAGTATATTATTTTGGTGCATATTGTTATATTGGTAAAGAAGTTCATAGCTTCACTTTCAACCTAACAGGCAGTTAACCAGCAGGGTGGCCACTGCTGTTGCCCGGCCCATCTGAGTCCCTATGTTACTCTGTGTAAAGAGCTTCCACTTGAAATACAACTTTAAAAGCACAAATGCTGCCAAATGTTGAATGTCGAAAGGGGCAGACTTCAGCCAACGCTAAGTGCTTGTTGAAAAAGGAGAAAAAACAAAAGTTTACATTCTATACAGGGCTACAACTGCTAGCAAGCTAGGCTAACTGGTTCCCACTTTGAAATCCAAACTTAACAGCACAACATCTCCTCAATGTTACTTCCCCAATAATGTAACCATCAGATAGCCTATAGTTATGACCACCAGTTTTAATTATTTCATCTTTGTTTCCCAGAAATCATGTTTTGTCCATCAGTTTGGCTAAATACTACAGTATCCATGAGCCTCAGCCACCAATGCGTTGCAATGCAATGAATTTGTGAACGAAACACGGTGCCATAGTTGCTTAATTCATCCAAAATTGATCCAGATTGGTGTTTGTGTTGGTTTGTCAACATCATGATCTTTAGCTTTAGCCATTAGCGGTGCTAAGCAGCTGTTTTTAACTGGTCTGAAACAGTCTCTGAAAGTTATTCTTAATGCCTGCCACTGGGTCGGATTCAACTTTTTCTCAAATAACTAGATACATTTGGTTAATCTTTTGCACTGATGAGTTTCATGGCCTTTCATAGTGTAGAAGTGCTTCACCGAACACTGTTGATGGAAAACGAATGGGACTTCGCTTCCTCTTCTTTTGAAAAGTAAAAAACATGCACAATAGCTGCAATGTCACTTTAGTGAGAATTCAAATTTCTGTTTGACCTTCAACTGGAAACCAAGATAATAATCAAACATATTCATGAATACTTGTTTAAAACCTGATAAAAGTGTCTTGTATTAGTGGCTCAGAATAACGGTATCACAGTTAAACCTCATCACTTCCGTCATATAACAGGTAAATGTCTCTGAATATCAGCAAACCGACGTATTAACAGAAACTAATTTAAATGAATGAATGCTGTTGTCTTATTGTGCACGTCACTTCCTTTCCAGTCAAACGGAACCACAGCAGATCCACTACTCCCACAACGACGGCCAGTACCCGGGGGGCGCCGGCTCGGTCTCGGTGGCGACCATGCCCTTTCACCCTGCATTACTGGAGCATTACCTGCCGCAGGTCCCTCAGGCGCCGCGCCGAGCCGAGGGCCACGCCACACCCACCTCCTTGCCCAGAGAGAGGGAGCGGGAGCGTGAGCGCGAGCGGGAGAGGCCTACGTACAGCGAAGGCGAGGAAAGCGACGGTGGAGAGAGGAGCGAGGGGGAACTGGTGCTCTTGACAGACTGAAGGGGGGAGGGAGGGGTCAGGGAGGAGGAAAAAGGAAAACGGAGGTGAGGGATGAGGAGAGGAGGAAGGGTAGCTAAGGAGGAAGGGTGCTTTGTTGACTGATAGTCAGAGGAGAAGAATGGAGGATGAACAGGATTGCCTCTGTTAGACAAAAGTGAAGAGATGTGGTCATACACCCTTGTAAATTAGTTGTTTTCCCTGCACCACACACACATACACACACACACGTAAAGGCAAGCTCTTATCTTACTCTTTTCCCTTCATAGACATGTCATCAGCTGCTTTGTTTTAGAATACAGAAGTTATATTGAAGTTATAATGTAGAAGGTTTATCACTTAATCCCTTATGTTTCTCGTCATCCTCCCATGTTGCCAAACAGAAGCCCCCACAGGGGCACATTCAATGGAGGAAAGTGTAAACTAAACCTCACAAGTTCAATAGAATCCCTGTTTTCACCTGTTAGACAGCTGAGGGACCTCAGAGCGGCTGCTCTCTGGTTGGAGCAACAGGCCCGTGATGGAGCTGTGTGTTATTAGTATGTCAGTACTGCCCCCTGCTGGTAACAGCTGGTTATTACTAAATGAAGACAACCAGAGGAGTAAGGCTTTATATCATTGTACTGAAAACACTGACATATTACAGCTAACTCACCGAACTCATGGTTCAGATTGTCTGGAAAGCGTGCACCTGGAATTTGCGAGTCAAAAGTCAAATTTGATCTTTAAGGATAATCTGATTTTTGTTCCCTTGTATGGTTTAAGCTCCAAAACACACACTGGATCCTACTCTTCCCATAATGCAACTTGATAAAGTTTTTCATTAGACCCTCCCTGCCCACTATGTTTCAGACTGATGACATTGTCAGGGTTATCTTTCAGATTTGGGAGTGATCCCTCCAGTTTTTATAGAGTAGTAAACTGAACTTAATGTTTAATATTACTGGAGTGCCCCTTTAATAAATCAAATCTAATTGGAATCACATCCCAGCAGCCATTAGGAGCATTGTTCGCTTTAAGCTAGAGTTGGGTGACAAATCCATTAAATCTATTGATTTGAATTTCATCAGTGTGTAACATTTAGGAGGATCTATTGGCAGAAATGGAATATAATATTAATAGTTTTCATTGAATAATCAACTGAAAATAAGAATGGTGTTTTGGTTACCTTAGAGTGAGCTAATATCTACAGACGCTGCAGGTCGCCTTCCATGGAGTCCGCCATGTTGAGCCGCCGTCGCATTCTCTGCACACTTCACAGCCAGCGCAGTTTCTCCTTCGTGCTTAGAAGGGAGGAGTTTGAAGCAACTATACAGTTAGATGCCATTAAATCTTACACACTGCACAATAACATTTCCCCATAGTATCCTATAAGAGAAGAAGGGGCCGCAGTGATAAGACATTACTGACACGGTGATGTTTCACATGTCTTTTGTAGTCTGAGATTTTCACCCAGCCCTACTTTAAGCTCATACAATATGTCTTTACATCTGTCTCACTGAAAGAAATCCTGTCCGGATTATCATTTCTGGAGATTAGGTCTTATCTTGTTTGTCAGCACCAACGGAACAAATGTTCTAGTTAAGGAACAGTTAAGGGATGTCTCATCGCAACTAACAGTTTTCAATCACACCGCCAGCCAGTTAGATTATATGTGAGAAGCTGCATCGCAGATAATATACAGTAAACCAACAATCAAACCCCCCTCTTCCTCGTCCTCCCACATCATACTGTTCAGCTGAGCTGTGCTGTATATGCTGTATCCGTGTGTCTATCAGTTCCCTCTCCATAGCATGGTGGGTTGACCTCAGCCTTGCCTATTTTTTTATACCTCTGTGTTTGCTTCTTTGAGTGTTAATTGATTGTCGTGTTGAGCACCTCCTATCTGTGTATCCCAATGTGTTTTTTTTTTTGCTGCTTTTGAGTTGCAGCCTCCCACAGCACTGCAGAAAATATCCACATATACACTCTATACATATATATTCTTTTTTTTAATCTGGAAAAATGACTCGCAATCGCCATCGTCTTGGTACGAGTATGTTGGGCCTCGTTCTAAGATACTGACATACAGATTTCTTTTCTGAAGCGCCACTGGAATTAGTTTCAGATTTGAAGACTGAAAGTGAAACTAAATGACATTTTTGCAGTGATAGATCAATCGGCCTCATGTTAGAATTAAGGTGAAGTTTGATCTGAATAGGCTACACTGTCTAATTATCTTTTATTTTCCTGTTCACACATCACATTTCAAATGGGAGCGGAAGCTGCCGTTCATTGGCTGGATGTACTACCCCTCTCTAATGGTGGATACAGAGACAGAGAAAGGGTCAATTAATGGTTATGAGCTTGTTGACAGTGAGAGAAATATACAAAGGTTTTGAGTGACTGAACCACTGGTCGATTTTATGAGAACAAAGATACCAAAATCATCCACGAGTCCTCAGTACATCATCGGTGCTAACAATTCTGCTTACCGAGCGATATTAGGCTCCATATTAGCACTTAGCAGGCCTACACTATGTTCTTTGATAGTGAGGCTGCATTCACTGATGGTTGGAGTTACTTTATCGCTGCTTGTTGCAGAAGTATGCTGAAAGCTTGTGTTTTAATGACGTACAAGTAAAAGTAATATTTGTGTGCTGTGAGCTAGCTGCTAGTGAACTGTGTACATGAAAACACATTCAACTTCCCAAGTAAGAACACTGATTTAACAGTTTTCCTTGTAGGAAAAAGGAAATCCTTAGTTCCAATAATAAATAATGGCAAGCTCAATGCTAATGATGCTACAGTTTAGCATACACCGTCTTTATTGATTTGAATAACAAGCTACAGACTTTAAAGCCAAATGGTGAGTTATCTTAAATGAACTGTAGCTTAATTTGTAGTTGTATGTAATAAAGTGGTACAGTTTAATCAAAACGTAAGAGAAAAAATGTTACTAACTGGCAAGCTAGAATGTTTAGCTAACAGCCTGGTGCTATTAGCCTGTAGGAATCTGTGGCTAACAGTTTCGAGCACATAGATCATTTTGGTGTTTTTGTTCTCATCGCTCAATGACCACATTGACCGATGGACAGTTCAACTACAACATAATGTACCTAACACTGGGGTCAATCCACCTGTAGTTAACTGGTAGCTAACTTTTAGCTAACTGTAAGATTGACTAATCAAAATAGCGGGAAAAGACTTCACTATATACAATCATGGTCAGGGCTGTGTAAAGTAAAGATGCTGGCTTTTGTGCACAGAGACGGATATCAGAGGAAAATATCGTATTTTAGCGGAGACGCGCTGAGGAGCCACCTGTCGTTACCCCTGCTGATGTAAATATAGAAAGAGACTTTATTTTGTTTATAAGAGCCTGTGTAATTTAAAGGTGTATGTTTCTTTATGTTTTCAGAGTTTTGTGTTGTTGGTTTTTTTCTTGAAAGACAATAAATTGGTTGTGTTAATTTGTGTGATTTTCTTCTTTTGTGTGCGAGTGTGTGTGAGACCGGCTTGTGTAAATGTCTCCCCGCAGGCCCTGCTTGGTTCAGTAATTACTTTGCTCCATAATTCAGGTCTCCCAGAGGTCGTTCCCACGGTAACACACCACCTCAGCTCTTCTCAGCTCACCGTTGCATTTACCCATTATATCAGCATGACAGCGAATGCTGTTTATTTCCCGTATCTCAGCTGGTTAAAAAAACAATCACTGCAAATTAGCATCTGAAACAAACGTATTAATCACATCAGAAAATCGGGAAGTGACGCACCTGAATGGATCACAGCTGTGTGGTATTCGTTACACCTGTGCTTCTCCTACTGAGACACCTGTCTGCGTGAACAAGTGGAAGGAGTTTAAAGAAAGTTTCAACTGTAAAAAATGGAAAGATGTGCTCTCTTCATACAGCACAGTGTATTACAATGTGATTGACAATATAGGCGTAAACATGAGAACCTAAGGAACGTAAGAATATAAACTGGAGTAAACTGACCCACCGTATATTAAACATACCACGCAGCAGTAAAACCCCACAACATCCACACGATCAAACAAACCCCTGCCCCGTCACAGTACACACACACACACACAAGAAGACCTTTGCCTGATGACCTGAGATGCTGGATCGGGTTAAAATCAGTGAGAAAGTCAGAAATGTACTGAGGAGCAGAACCATTAAGAGCTTTACAGGCAGGCTTTGGGAGTAATGGATTACATGCAGCTGAGTTATGTAATCAGGATGCAAAAAAAAAAAGGTGAGCTACCCTGCAGCCCTGCTCAGTGCGTCAGAAAAACTGATGTATTTTAAAATTGTAATCCTGCTCTTAATCCCCATTGTTACTAAATGTAACTGTAATCCATTACAGTCAGAAAAGAAGACGTAATCAGATTACAGTTATATTTAGCGGCCCGGGTTTGATCCCAACCTGTGGCCCTTTGCAGCATGTCACCCCCTTCAATCTCTCCCCCCTTTCCTGTCTATCTTCACCTGTTCTATCAAAATAAAGGCACAAAAAGCACATTTGTTGTTGAGGAAATCGGAAAATAATAAAGTTATGTTAATATTGTGATACTTGGATTATGTAACTGACGTAACGTACTGGAGTAATATGTGAGGACTTGGAGCCATTAGACTACTGATTGTTTGGATAATTCTGCAAGTAGAGTGTTGCAGTAGTCTAGCCTGTTTGAGATGAATGCATGAATCTATTTCCTGTGGATTTACCATGCCAGAGCCCAGAGTATCAAACTGTAAGAGAGTTAGTTTAGTTTAACTCTGGGACCTCCTGACCTACTTCTTATATTGCAAATACTTTAACATTAACATACATTCAATTACTAAAATCCACAGTAGGTGACTTTTACAAAAATAACTATTTGTCATATTTGCTTTCACTTTCACTATATCCAACATCAGACAGATCATTTGTGAAATAAAACACACATTAGTTACCTAGTGCGAGTTCAAGGTAGAACCTTATTTAGTATCAATGGTAATGCCTGTGTTTAACCTACTTTTTGTGTGAAAAAGGCCTACCGTTATCAGATTTAATCGTGCTTGAGTCCCACTCACATCAGTTAGAGCACAGACAAAAACAACTCCATATTTTTAACACATTTGTACCCTTCTAACCTAATAAAAGTGTTACTCTTTGGGAGTGCTGGGAATTGGATGCTTTAGGCTACATCCGACTCATGGGTGAAATTTTCTTCCTATTGAAAAGTATTGGTTGCAGCTAACCCAGTCTTAATTGGAGTTTATTAATGCAGCAACAATAACAATGTTCACTTTGTGTTGACTCTGGGGGCCCCTGTGGACAAAAGTAGGAGTGTTTGATTGATTTCAAGGGGAATCTGACCGGTGGCAGGCATCAAGATTAACGCTGGCGGTTTTGTTTGTTTCTGTAGGTCCTATAGAGGCATCAGTATTAAGCTGAGACGGTTTTAGAGCTTGTTAAAAACTCCTCTTATATGTTTATATGTTTAAATATAATATGGTGAGAGTGCGAGTAGAAAAAGACAGATGAAGTCTCAGCCATGACAACCTCCACACATAGGATGTTGACAGTCATCACCACAGTCTATTTCAGCGTGTGTGTGTGTGTTTTGGCAGGATGTCCCACAGCACAAGTTTCTTCCTTCCTTCCTCCTGTTTGGGCCAAGGCACCGGGTCAGCTGGCACACAGAAACAAACAGGAGGAAGCTGGAGTGTCAAAAGAAAAGTCACACAGTGGTAGAGATTCCCACAACTTTGGAGAGCGGACAAATCGAAAGCACACAGCCATTTTTAGTATTTTATACATTTTAATGGAAATATTTACTGACGACTGTTAAATAATTCTTCTTGCCACTCCTACAGAGGTGTGAAGGATCACTGTACAGTAAGCTTTTTCACAGTATTTCTTACAGTATTTACATCCTCCATCTCCGCACGAATTCAACACAGCATCTCCTTTAGCAGCGGATGAGTACATTTACAAAGTCACATCTGCAAGCCAAATGCTGGGTCCCTTTACACAGCGCTCAAAGCATTTACAAAAAGGAAATATCAGCATACAAAGGGGGGGAAAAAATCAGTTATCTGTACAGTGTTTCTCAAAATTAAGTTAGTACATTCACACACAAAAATAGTTAATCTCAAATGAACTGCAATGCAAACCCTCTGATGCTAACCATTTTGGTATGATTAGAAAACGATGAAAGAAAAGGTGTGAAATGCAACATTAGATTCACTCAATAAATAAACCCTGTTTAAAACTGACCTACCATAAAGAGAGTGAAATCTTTGACGGCCAGCATGGAACAGGAAATTCAGATGGCCCGGTCAGCAGAAAAAAAATGATGTATTGGTCTTTAAACATTTTTCAACTTCACTGTCCACACTAACTTCTTGTTTGGCTTATTTTCACCTTACCCACTGTGTAATGTAATGAGCAAAAAGTCAACAAAGTCATCAGTGTGTGTCTGGTAACGTTGAGTTGAATGATTCAAAGTATGATAGTGATACTTCCAGTGATTACACTTCATTGTTTTCACTCTACGTTCTGTGGATCCACAACTCCTGAAAGCAAAAATGTCAGACTTCATTGTCAGTGCAGTCAACAGTGCAAAACCTTTAGCTAACATTAGCTAACTTTTTCATAAACAAAACAAGTTACAATTAAGACGCGTAGTAGGAAGAGAGAGCTGTCATAGGTCTCATTGATGATCATTTTCCTATGGATAGTTAAAAGGCCCCATCACTTTGTCTTTCCACTATAGATTCTTTACGTATATCCACAGACGTAGCTTTTCTATCTGTAGATTCACAAAAAACACACATTTAATGTCACTGAAAATAATTCATAACTTAAGTTAAGACTTTGGAAACAGTAGTTTGACAAAGTGATACTAACCAGTTTTCTAGCTTTTTTCGACAACAGATCCATCTCCATGACAACTGAGCAAACTCAATCTGCTGATGAAGACGGCATGATGCAGTTGAAAGCTCTGGTTCTGTCAAATCAATAACTTGTTCTCCAGTGCTAGTTTGTGTGTTTAAAGATCAACGTAACACCTACTGAAAATCTTGTCTTCACTGACCTCTAGTGGTTTAACTTCTCACATTGCTAGGACTAAATAAAGAGATGAAAAACACTGCTTTTGTTGGCATTGTATTAAGTTGTTTTTTAAAGACCTGTCAATATATCAGTGTCTGAGCTGAGTAGAGCGACAGAAACTGCTGTTTTACTCATCTACATCAGTGAATTAAGGATTTATTTCAACCAAACCAGAGCTGGTGATAGTTGGGACAGTGGGAAGACTAACAAATACTGTTGTGGTGAGTTTTATTTTGTTTCTGTCTACTTTGAATGTCAGACGATGATATACGAGGTAAAATGATCATTTCTGTCTATGGAGTGTGGTGGCAAGTGATAGTTAACAAAAGATCTATCTATTTCCATGATTTTGTCAGAAACTTAAAATAACAATCTGAGCCTGTCAGTGGCAGAAACAACAACTTTTAGAGGACGTACTTTGACGGTGCATTTGTCCCCAAGGATTAGCCGACGTTACATAGCAGAACATTTTGCAGCTATTCTCTGTGAATCAAGGGTTTATTCTGACTAAACCAGCGTCAGTGATTGTTGGAAAGACTAAGGTCTTGGTGAATTTTAGTGTATTCCTGTCTTGTTTTGGTCTGAGGTGCTGGTGCTCTAGTGCGACATCCAGTGGAAAGTGAATTTCATAACCTATAAAATACACACTGGACTGAACTATGTCAGCAACAAGATGATTTTGGTGCGTAACCTTTTGATGCCATTCCACACGGTGGGTAAGGTGACCAGTGGACCAAATGGCTGCTAAAATATTAGCACACTTCTGAATGAGTGCAAAGTTTGTAGGACAACCCTACAGTTATCTCTAGCCTTTAACATCACTGCCTGCTAATGTTAGATAGAATTTCAGAGGAAACAAAATAAAGCTACCCCCTAACTTTCATCTTCCAAAATCCCAAACTGTGTCACTAGATGAGGTCCACTGTGGGTCAGTGTCCTCTATTAAGTGAATGGAGAAATGCATTCAGAGCTCATGGAGTGCAAATGCCCTTTTTATCCAGGCTGAATTCCTACCAGGGTATTAGGATGTGCGTTCAAGCAGCAAGCTCACTAATTTGGTCTTTGTCTGCAAATCTACTAAGCAGATTACTCCACTTGTAGTTCCCTAAAATAAGGGCCTCTTGATTATTCTCAAATTAAAAATGCACTACTGACATGGGTGATAGCTTTTTCAACTATTTCGTCTGTAGCTTTTATGCTCCTAAATATGTGCCATCATACGAGTACATCTTTCACTAAGCAACTCTTAAACCCACTTTAGCTTCACACAGCCCCTGAGTTATAATTCACATTCAGAAGGCTCTGATCATCACTAAGGATAAGAACCACTCACACATTTCAAATATACATGCGATTCCTCTGAAAGCACTTGTGTCATTCCTTAGGTTGACTGTCCAGACTGGAAACCATTAACATCAGCTGGTATCTGCCTGTTCTGCTGCTCACTTTGTAAATTATTAAGCCTGACAGTTACATGAGACCTGCACTGGAGGACAAAGGTCAGAGCTCAGTGTCTCCCCCTGCTGGGCCTGTGAGAGGTTAAATATCCTGAAGAGTATGTGTGTAAGAGACAGGACATCCCTTTTCTGGAGCCCAGCATTAATGAACAGCTTCAGAAGGTATCACCTTTTGCTCAGATTCACTCATGAAAGTAAAGGACTGAGTCCTGTGCTTCAGTTCATTATAACCAGAGGTCAGGGAACAATGTATCTGCAGGATTCAAAAAGCCAAATACAGGACTATTTAAGACCTTCTTACAGTGTATGCAGAACTTAGTTAAGGCCAAATGAATTAAAGCCAATGTCTAATTAAATCTAAGTTGATTATGAGAGCTCTTAAACTGTAAGTGGCCAGAATGAGAAAAAGGAGAAATTAATGGCCATTAAGACCAACTGTGCTTTAAAGGGCACTTCACTGATTTGACATATGCAGATGGTCGTGTAAGTACTACTCAGCAACTGTTTTTATAATTGCTTAATAACTGCAGTCACTTTTCAAGTTTTCTGCTTTCAGCTTGTTCAATGGGAGCATTTGTTTTTCTGTCATAAATCACTGTAATGAATATTTTGGGGTTTTGGATTGTTGGTCAGGAAAAAAAGAGGTTGTTTAGGGCTCAGGGATGTTTTGATTAGCATTTGTAATAACATTTCAGAGCTCTAACCTGCAGATCACTCCCTGATGAAAATAATCATTAGTCGTAGCCCTAGACTCAAGTGACGTCACTTCAGTCATTTCAGTGTGGGATTGGAGACAAATTTACAAAAGAAACTTTGCATTGCCAACTAGAAAGAAAGAAAGTTGAAATAGTTGCATTGTGGGAAATGTAGGATGCAGTGTTCAGGCTCTCTCAGTCTCTGCTGCTTCAATTTTGACAGTTTCTTTAAAAACAAAAGCTTTCACGTCCTCCCCTCTTACAGAAGTGTTATAGTAAATAGCTGGAGTACAAAGACAGACAGAATATGTACAGTACTGAAACTCTTGTCTATTAACCTAAGAGTCCTGATAATGCTTTGCTTAAAGGGCACTCCACAGATATAGCATTGCACTACTATAACATTGTCGGACTCATGGCAAACCATTTTAAACACAAATCGATGCAGCAGAACCAGACCTACATTACCCATAAGCTCACTTCTTTCTGACACCACACGTCCAGATTTGTTTTCATTTTCAAGCCTGTAGACCCCAACTGACACTGACCTGAGTGACATCACTTGAGGACATTTTTGAGATTTTTTTATATAACTTTTTCCACATATGCAGAAGTACTCATCAACACCTTTAAACAGGCTTTGGTGTGTGAAATTGGTAGAGTTTCTTTTAGAATGTTTTGGGTCAGATGCCATCTTTTTCCATCTAAGTAATGGGTGATCTTCATGACAGCAGCACAGCCCCATTCATGCCTCTTTTTTAAGCTAGACTTGATTTGACCGCGGATATAACTTATGCAATGTCTGATTATGTAACAAAATTTGGCTCCAAATCTGGGATGTAACTGGGAAAGGATTACAGTGTGGGGCTGAGAGCAACCTCTGAGGGTAAGATGGTCTGTGGAACAGGTGCTACTGCCACAGTCTAAACAGATAAAGGGAGATATGAAACAAAACCGGGGTGGGAGGAGATCAAAGATGGTAACGTGCGGAGAGCAGACAGCAGGAGGGCATAAAAGAGGGGGAGGAGGGGTTGGCGGTGGGGGTGACTGAGGTTATGATTTTCCAAGAGGTCTGGAAAGTTTAAATGGAAAGTTAACAGAGCGACTCGCTGTAACCATAAAAGTCAAGAAGGTGGAAAAACGGTTGAAGGACAGAATGCACACAGAGTGACATTTACACAGGTCCCCTCTTTTTAACCAACATCTACCTCCCCTCCTCCTTCACGTCTCTATTCAACACAAAGCAACCAAAGCTCAAGATTTGTTTCACCTGAGATGTTAAATAATCCACAATGTCTTCACATAAATAAATTAATGCACATTTAGCTACTCTCTATCACCGATTGCTATAACACAAGAGTGATTCAACCTACAGCCAAGTCTGTGAAAAGCTTTTCCATTTGCTGTCCCACACACTCAGTGTCTGGTGGGTCCTTCCAGGGAGAAAAGTCCACTAGCACACAGAGAGGTCTGTTCATTTCTAGCAGCAGCAGCGGGTTGCTTGGAATAAATAGGAGAGGAACTGACAGAAGCTCAAACTGCAACGGCCGGAAAAAATCTGAGGAAAGAGACGACGGGGTACCGCCCACTGTGTTGGATGCACAGGTGATCTCTGGGAAGTGCAGTGCAGGAATATCCGCAGCTACGAGCACTTAGTTCCAAAGTTGGAGAGAAAAGAGGAAGGACCGCACATATTAGAACATAAAGCGTTAAAATATCTGCAGAGAGGAGGAGGAATGGTCTCACCGTACACACCACACGCAAAATCTGAGGAATCCCAGGTGAAGTGCCTCTATAGTACCTTTCTAACTATAATGAGGCCATGGCATTGAGCCATAGATATAGCACACCGAGAACAAGACAAACTATCTGTCTATGTTAGCATCAAACCCTTCTTAGCCCCTCTTTTGACCTTCATTACCAGCGTTGTGGAACATTTTGGCGCCATTGTGACAGAAAAATAAAGCAGGTTTTAAGTCAATGATCTCTACCTTAAACTCTGTGACGGCTGTGCTCACTACGCCTTGTTCAGCTGCCCTACGAGGGAAAGCAAGACGTCGGGTTTCAAGATAAATTAAGGACATACACAAGCATACATTCACACCCATACACACAGAACTGGAAGTTTGATAATTCTTGAGCTACAGTTGTGACAGACATGGAGCTAAGTTGGAGGAATGAAGGAGTAATTGCGCTTGTTGCAGAAAAGGAAGCCAGGTAGTAGACCAAGCAGTGGTCCATCAACAGCTGGCTCACAGAGAAGAGTTCCCACCCTACAGGAAGACCCGGCATTAAACCGGTCCCACCCTTCCTCCTGTCTCCTCTCATTCTGGGATCTGCAGGGCCATCACTGTGGGTTTGGTCTTGAAGTACTGGTTGAAACGTAGCACAGCGTACCTGCAAGACAGAAGAGCAGAGAGGTGGCACAGAAGGAGAAACTCCTGTTTGTTATTGTTATTCATTTTATTATTTATAAAATATACAAAACTATTTTTGTACATCCACAGGAGCACAATGCCACACCCAAACCATGTACAGCACACATACTAGAATAAACTCGTAGTTTATCAGAAAAGGCAAGCGTTTGGGTGCATTTTGGATTGTATAACAATAGTTAGCTTTGTAAGACAAAGGTGATTTTGTGAATGTATGCTATCACCCAGAGAATAAGCTAACGTTAGGGAAGGGGCGCACCAAATCCAGCACGAGCAAATGAGCAGACTGACCAACAGACACTGCTGCACTTTACAAAACTTTTAGATAACGTTCATATTTTATATATATATATATATATTTTTATTCCATATATCCATATATTCCAGTTAAATTTTAATATATCACCTTTCTTTGCAGCAGCAGTCTAATTATCAGACATTGACAACATGCTAGGCAGGGGAGCTATTCACTCGAGAACTGCCTTTCTGTGACTGAAGCAGGAGTGATTGGGTTACCATCCATAAACCTCTTTAGGTCTACTCCTGTCTGTGGACAACTATGGGAGGCAAAGCTGGCGTCCATGTGTGAGCAGGAAGTGTTAAGTGGTATGGATGCTCACAAAAAGAAATGAGAGACATGTTGGCTTTTGGTTTCAGCCTTTCACTGCGCTCTGTTTAACCCACGCTGACAGACTCTGCGGAGACCCACAGTCCCACCTATCACTTATGTAATATCCTAAACGGGGGGTCGCCACTCTCTCACACTCACACACACACACACACACACAGCAACTTACCCAAGGAAGTCAAAGTCGATGGAGGAGTATTTGGCCTGGATGAGTGCCCAGAAGCCCCAAAAGAAATGAGAAGCCTTAAGAGAGACAAATCAGATATCAGATTAAAGTAATGTGAGACACTGTGGGCGTGAGTGTGTACGAGATAGTGTGTGTTTGCCAACATATTCCTCCTCACCAGAGCAAACTTGTTGACCTGTACGTAGAGTGTCTCCAGCTCTCGCGGGCTGACCTCCTCTGTTTTCTTGGTGAAGAGCTTGTATGCCTGCAGGTACACTTGGAGCCAGTCCATCTGCATCTCCCGACTGGGGTACAGCCCATAGTCCAGCTCTGCCATTCCTGATCACACACGGGACACACTGCTGTATAAGAACCTGCACTGTATAGATATGGCAGAAGTTCTAAATCAATTCAAATCACACTGTGGTTCAACAAACCTGCAAATTCATTGAAGTGGTTGCCGATGTCGAAGGCCTGGTAGTTGTAGCTGGAGTATTCATAGTCTATGAAGCGAACATGACCTGAGAGACAATGAGAGGACAGTAAGAGAATGTAAAATAGTGTACTTGCTCAAAAATAGCAGTTCTATCTCGTCCAGAGTCTGCAGCTTATGTGACCTGTTGCAGCTTTAGCCGGTTAGCAAAAACTGGACCGCCAAATACCCCAGGATCAAGTTAGGGCAGTGACATCCTGTGTTGAGCTGAAACAAATAGTTATATGTCCAAATTCTCAGATGTCAGCTTATAGGACCAGTGTGTAGATAAAAACACACAATTACTCTCATATTCAGGTGATTATACACTATAAACATACCTATGAATATTACATTTCATTTCTGCCAATAGATCCTCCTGTTACTGTACAAACAAGGAAACAGAAAATTCAGGTCAATGTTCAAACAGCCACTCACAGAGCCAGAGGGGGCGTTTCTCTCCCATTCCTGTCTCTCTCTCTGCTCATGCTGTAACTAATCCGTCAGGGACAGGACCCAATGTTCACGTATGTTTCCACTGCATCATAAAAGCCGGGGTATGTTTGAAACCAGCTCATTTGTAGACGTCTGACAACATCCAAATTTAATAGTGTTGGTACGTGGTCATAATGACCACCTTCGCGATGTTGCACTGGTTTGCACAGCAATAGAGGAAGTGATGGAAATAGCTAGAACGTAAAGAGAGCTTAAGAGAGACGTTTGCTGTGTGAAATGGGCATGATGTTGAAAAGTAACATAGTCAGACTTCTCTCTTAATGCAGTGCTGATGGGCTTGGTTTTTATGACAGCAGCAGGAAAAGGTGAGTTTAGTATTCCGAGACTGGCAATGCAGACTTTAGGTAAAAGGTACTATTTACCCTCTTTACTGTTGTGGATGATGTTCTTGCAGAGAAGGTCATTATGGCAGAGCACCACAGGGGAGCCCAACGTGGAGAGATGCTCCTTCATCCACACCATCTCCTGCTCCAGCACCGCCTTGCTGGGAACCTCCTGCTGGATTCTGGACAGGAAGCACAGACACAAGCAGAGAGAGAGAGAGTTAGGCTTTTTCACACACAGACTCCAGTTTTATCTCTTTCGCTGTTAAGACAACTATGCTGTGTGTCTGCAAACCCAACACTGACCCTACAAGCATGGTCCAGGACAGTGAAAGAAATTGTTTTAGACCAAAACAAACGTTTTTCATTGTTTTGGGATCATCACAAAGTGGGAACTTATGTAAAGTGAAAACAAGTGAGACCAACATGCACAGACAGCACACAGGCTCAGTGGGGCTCTGGCCTGCTGGCTCCTGGGAGCACAGCTACAGAGAAACAAGCTCTCAGTGGACACTCAAGGTGCAGCAGGGTGTTTCCAGAGTCACTATGGCTACACTACTGTCTGTGTCTCATTTTGAAATGAGCGTTGAGATCTGACTCATTCACTGTATGTACATGCTATGCTTTAAAAATGACATGTCCTGCACCTGTACTTATTTTAAAAATGTAAATCCCTGCCACAGGCCTACTGAACATTCATGAAAGTGGTATTATTGGCTAATGGGGAAAGGGTTATGTCACTGAGTTAGCGTCTCAGCCAACCAGACTGAGCAGAGACCCCTGTGCTAACTGTAATGGGCTTATGGGACATAATCCAGTCAGCCTGATAGAAGGAGATGAGAGAGAGAGAGAGAGAGAGAGAGAGAGAGAGAGCTGGGAGGGAGACTGTGTGAAACACACGCACATACACACCCTCTCCTTGGAGATAGCTACATCTCTGCCCTGATTGCTCCGTGTCCTTCACCTGCAGCCTGACTCAACTGTTCAATCTCTGCCTGGTGTAGAGCAAAGACGATTCATATCTCCTTCTGCTAATTCTTTGAAACCCTTTAAACATCTGGACTTCTGTACAGTCTGCTTCAGACCATAGAGCAACGAGTGTGTGCTGTCCAGCACCCAGCACACTCTAGCTGTCTGTGTAACCAAGGAAGAGCATAAAGTGACCTGACACACTGAGCTAAGCAAACATCTGCTGGCCCACTGCATGCCTCAGACTCCATAATCCAGTCGGCTATTATTGTTACAGTTATATAAGCCACATGCTGGATTTAATCTAATAGCCATCAGAACAAAGGTATCAGCTGGGACTGGGCAGCTGGCCAGGTTATGAAACACTCCACTAAGATGCAAAATGAACCATCATCTTCAGCCTGAACTCGAACTTTAACTTTAACCTTCCTCAGGTTTTAGTGTCTTTATCTCAGAAGCAGTCTGATTTATAAATCACATCAGCTCTTATTGCCCTGATTGCTAAAAGGTTCCTTCCTTCCATGAGAGACCAGCCTATTTAAATACGTCTACGTAAACAGCGCAGGATCAGTCTTTTGCAACTAAAATCCATACTACTTCTGAACACCTTAACGTCTAAATAACAAGACTGTGAGTCCACAGCCATGCTAGCAGCTCTGTGAGCTGAGCTTTGGGCTAAACGCTAACATCAGAATGCTAACATGCTCATAATGACAATACCAACCTATGCTTGTCAGGTAAAATATTTAAAATGTTGGTATAGTTGAATACAGAACCTGGATCTATGTAGATTTGTAATGTTGTGATTATAAAATAATTTAATCACCACAGTGCCACAGCTTCAAATGACTGCTGTTTAGTGAATTAAAACACAGTACAGTTAACCACAGAGAGCGGGGGAGACTAAACATGGTTTATTGGGCTGTCACTCTGCAGAGTTCCTGACTGTATCTGCCGCCTACTCACAGTCAAATGTATGGCAGCTTAGTTAACCAAACAACTTTGTCATCTCTTACTTTCTGTGACTGTTCATTTTAACATGCAATCATACAGCACAGCGGGTGTCAGTAACCTGGATTTATGTTGACTTTGTCAGACAACATTGCGCACACCTGTCACTAAAACTGTACGGTGTGTCAGAATCCAGGGACCAGTATGTCTTTACAAAATGTCATGCTAATCCATCCAATAGTTGTTCAGATAGTTCAGATGTGGACACACTGACTCTCTAGAGCCAATGCTAGTGTGGCTAAAATGTGCTATCAGTAAAGAGTACAGGTGGTTGTAAAGTCCGGTAAAGTTCTGGTCTGGCAAGAGGGAGGCGGACCTTTGAGTAAAGTCATCTCTGAAATAAGACTCCACAGTAAGCTAGACACCTTTTCTGTATGTACATCATGTGTTAGACACCTCTGGTAACTAGGAAATTAAACAGGGTAACTAACCGTTTGATACTACTTTACTCCCAGATGATATCAGGAAAATTGACTCTGTCCACATAACTAATGTTACAGGCAAATCAGGCTGCGCTTGGGGAACTATTTGCATCATTATCACTGTGTGTGTACTGAGCCACGAGTGAGAACCACTGAGAACCTGGCTCTCACCTGATGTTGGATGCTTGGTCGGTAAACTCTGTGGCCACAAGGGAGAAGTATTTTCGCATCTTGATCCAGAGGTTGGGTTTGGGGATGCAGCCATTGTGTGCATGGATGGCATGGATACGAGCCATCTCCCTGGCTATCAGTCTGAGAGATGCATAGAAACACAAAAAGAGAAATAAAGTTATCAACATCTCAACATGAAATCAGTACATTTCTGTATTAGTCTCCAGTTATGAAGACAGTCCAATGACAGACAGCTCTGCTACAAGATTAACATGCTGTTATCTGCAAGGTTAGATGAGGACAAGTATCTCTTACAGAGTTCCTGGAAAGAGTCCAGTGAAAACAGCTGAATACATCACGTGACAATCTGAGCTGATGTGGACAATAGAGTTTAACAGCCACCAAGGACAATGTGTGTTACCAGAGTAAGTATTAGTATTGACTGGTTTGTGGTTTGTGTCATTACAGTAAGTGCTGTAATACAGAGGCAAAGGATTCAGAATTGGTTTTTGTTCCCTTGTTTTTATAGTACGGATCAACCATCAGTCATTTGCATGTGACTCATGTGTGCTTCATTTGCCTCTTTCCTGTGCAGCATGGAGGCATTTCTGCATTGTAAAGCAGTTTGTGTCCAGGTTACATTTAAGACTTTTTAAGACCATTATGAATGCAATCTAAGACCCATTTTACATCCATACTGGCAAAAAACAGTATGCAGAATATGATGGCACACTGGTATTGTTCAGGTTTAGTTTTGTAGTTGTTACAGCATGATGAATAAATCATTATATATACCATTTAAGACCCAACAGACACCCTGCTATATGTAGGACGGAGAAACCTGGGAGGATTCTGAACACAATGATACAATGCTGCCTTGCACAGTGTTATAATTCTGCCATCACCGAGCGAAGTCAGTAAAGATCCCTGTCCCATGACTCTACCGTGTCCCGACCTGAGTAGTGAAGGATCCCTGACATCCTGCGTCCCAAGAGCGTCCCCCTGCATGAACTCATAGCAGATGCCGTTCTGAAAGGTGCAGTAGAGGCGAGGAGCACAACCATTAGCGTGTAGCACCTACAGGAGAGACAAAAATATATATATATACAAAACATAAGAATTAGATAGGAGAATTTACTGAACATTGACAGAAGAGCACAATCCCTTTGCTTTTACACTACCTGAAAGCTTTTAAGCTCATTGTCTCTGTCCACAATCAGCTCCGTCTTGTTCCCGTATACCCGGACCAGGACCACGTCCTCTGGAGTGTCCTCCACGTAGCAGCCCACTAGCTTGTTGGTGGTTCCATCAGTGAAGAGCTGGAACAGGAAGAGAAGAAATCATATAACCTCTCAGAGAAACAGAGGAATACCCCCAACCTGTCGACTCCTGTCATTTTATCAGTTGTCTTCAGGTCGGGATCAATCTAGGAATCACTGTCACATGTGCCTGTGGCCCAGAGATAGCTGCTTCAATGGCAAGCGTGTTTTTCAAGTCCTTGGGATGTGGGACAAAAAGAGACAGAATCTCATGTTTTCTTAATGTAATTCACAATCTAAGTCTTATTTGACACATTTGATGCTAAAAAAAAAACTGCATCGCTAAAGCAAAACGGTCCATGACTCAGATGGGAGGTAGTCAAAGAGACGTGACGAGAGAATGCATTCTATTTTAGAGGAGGTTACACTGTCGGGTGTAACAGAGGATGTGCGGTGAACCTATAAAGAACGTGAGGTAGACGCGTGAGTGGGTCTGTTGCTTTCACCAACATATTTAAACTCCTAATGAATGAATGGGACTAGCTCTCTAAAATCCTACTTGCCGCTCAAAAAGATCGTACCGGTTCATGCACGAGGCCTGACGCCTCCTCTGCAAGGGTGGTGCGCCCCTTCTAAAGTGAAGAGTAAGCAGAAAGCCTTCTGTGTCTGAGGCTAGCCGTTACATATCTGAGTGACAACATCACTCCAGTGGAAGCCAGTCCATCCCACTGCAGCAAACACAATAACAACACACACGCTGCCTGCATCTCCCCCGGCCCAGACGCTCACTCACACATATCTGGCATTCCACACGTGGCTCGCCACAAAGATGGGCGCGCAGGCATCCCTGTTATGACCGTACATACACAAGCATACGCGCCTTTGCTACCACATGACTGATCCCTTCGACCCGCCAAACAATACGCCGCTAAGACCGGCGATCAATACGTCGACAGACAGCGGTAAGCTTGGACCCAGACAGAGGTAAACATTCAGCCATATACTGCCGGACGGGTTTGTTTTTCCGAGTCTACGTTCTGTGGTCTGATGGCGAGGCCTCCTTTCTTTGGCAAACCACGGTGTCTTCAGCGTGAGAGAGTTGTAAGAGGAGACTGTTGCTCTGTTGCTGTTGGCACACTCGGCTGTTTGCAGGAAGTCAGCGTGTGTGTGGGATGTTTGGAAATGGACAGTGTGTATTTACAGTAAAAGTCTTCCTGTCCAGGTGGCGGGGCTAATCAGGTGTTTCTGTCAACAGCGCTGCCCCGCTGCTCTTCACCACATTTAGCGTTTCCCGCTCTCATCTCAACAATGGCCCTGCTGCTCCAGAACATCCTCCCAACTCGACCAGATAACGCCACACACACTCTCGTCAGTCCGCGTTCCGCTGTGACCCGGGTCATGAGCACACTGGCAGTCGTGCTGCCGTACCATATGGTGGTGGTCACTGAGGAAAGCTCTGCTGGTCTGGCCTGTACAGTGGAGGTAAACGCTGCACGCTCTGGGCTACAGGTGTGTGAATGGGCGTGGAATCAGATCCAGTGAGATTAACCAGCAAGATGCAAACACACAGCTGCCTTGGCTGCGTTCAAAGACTTTGACCTGGCCACGACACATCAGTCACTGGATCCTTTTACGAGCAATCAATTATACATTTTCCTTTCCTGACCAGGTGAAGCTCTAAAAAGGATCCCTTAACAACACACTCCTCTGTGTGTGTGTGTGTGTGTGTGTGTGTGTGTATGTTAGTTTGTGGTGATGGTTTGCTGAAAGCATACTGCACAAAGACTCATCTGTTCCATAGTGGTTGGAGAATGTAACACCAGGGGTGGATACGATGATGGATGCATCAACCCTTTTTTCTTTTTTAATTCATTACACATATTGTGAGTGTGTATTGACTGTACACCCACACATGCTGACATGATTGTTTTCCTTAACATGAACAAACAGAATATTGTGGAAAATAGCAGTCAGTGCCATTGTTCTTTTATAACTCTTCATAAAGGTTTGGAACAGCCTGTCACAGAAGCTTCATGCTGTACATTTAGACTGAGAGGACTAGTCTGTGTTTCTGAATGATCCGTCATGCTTTTAGGTTATAGAAGGCCCTCTTTAAAACTAAATGTCATTATGTATCGAGGGTTCGCTATAAAGGTAAAGTTGTGCAACACAACGCTGCACAATGGTTCAACCAGACTGACAAGTGAAAGGGCACAAAGAGACAAAGATCCCTCTGAGCAACAGTAAAAGCAGAATAAGAAACCAGCAGTCACTGTAAAAGAAACTGGAAGATTAGCTAAATCTGTGCAGATTGAAATAGGGACGGGTTCCTGTTTCAGTGTCAGTAATGCCTATAACAAGCTGGAATTGCGGACATGCTACTTTAGCAAAGCTATAGTTAAACTTGAAAACAGAACTACAATGTTGGTCTAAGGTTAGCACGGTTGGGGTCAGAGTATCAGCTGAACGTACTATTAACTGACAAATCACAGTTTAAACCTGTCCGATCCAACCAGCGAGGAGACTGCAGGGCCTGAAGGAAAATGGGAACCAAACATACATAGAGCCAACAGGTTCGGTACTAAAAAACTAATTCCAAAATGAAGGAGATTTGGGGTAAAAATGGTCCCATTAAGCTACACTGGGGATGTTGACTAAATGGAAGTTTTAATCCTTTAAATTTTCTTCTCTTGAAGCCAAAATGTTAAATGTAAAAAATACCTTTGGTGTCTGAATTATAGTGTTTTTATCTGTTTAAACAGCCATTATTGAAGGAAAGAAGAAAAACATGAAGATAACGGATGGTGATTGCAGACCTTTGAACAGTAATGTTTTCACGTGTTAAGTGTTCTATCATTTCTTTGAGAATCACAGATGTGAGTTAGGAACTGATCTTCAAACAATGACATCATTAATCAAAGGGTTTATTACGATAGAAAACACTTGACTGCTATACAATCAGCAATATCCGTTATTATTTTACACACTCTGAAGTGCTGTATGTTCGAAAAATAGATCTTTCTCTCTGTGTGATCAATAGACAATCAGGAATATATTAAGCCTTTCTTCATACTGTTAGAAATACTGAAAATCACTTTTCCCTACTGCATACTACTTGAAATCAGTGATATTAGCCTTTTCCCTGATATCAACATCCATCACAGTTAGAGATGTGCTGGCATACCGTGGTAAAACATTCTGAGGGTGACGATACTGGCTGCAGTTTCTATTACCATCAATTAACCGTCACTTTCAGAGGGCACCATACACACAGCACAGCTCTCCTGTCTTCATTAGCAGCTTCATTTTGATTCACCACAAGGGGAGCGCCATTTTACCAGCCACAGACACAGCAGGACAGGGAACCAGGCTCCTGTCTGTCGAGCTCTAGCTGCTCTCGTCATGACATTTGGGACTATGATCACACTATGATTCCTGAAATGATCTTACTGGTGGAAAACACCACGGACAACGATGGAAATAAGTTTAGGACTTTTTCATTTTATCCCTAAAAAAGTCTGATGTGGTCATTTTAGAAAAGTATTAGAATATGACCAATAATCCAAATGGAAGTAACTAGGTTGCATACAGTTACATATAGAAACTTCAAATGTATTATAAAAATATATGGTGTGCAAAACACACACTGCAAAATATATTTACATCCTGTAAGTGCCAATGAAAAAGACTCAAACAGGCAAATAAGGCCTGAAGATTGTTCTGATTTTATTTGAGGGAGCTACACGTCCTGGACATAATCTGATTATGTTCTTTAATATTAAATGAACAGAGTAAAATATTCAGCAGAAGTGGTGAAGGTTACTGGTAGACCTGGGTTAATATGCTACCTCGGAAACAATTCAACAAGTGTTTTAATCTTGATTTTAAAAGCAGTCTGTTGTATGTATTTTGCTTTTTGCTTAATGTTATTAAATCTTACTGAAAAGTCTACTGTTTATCTGCAACCATATGTTTGTTTAAATATTTTCAATAAATGTTTTGCAATTGTACGTAGCAGCTGTAACAGTCAGCGTAGTCATTATTCAGTGGAATATTCTCTTAAACCTCTCAAATGTGACCACTAGCAGTGTTTCCGTGTCTAAGGGTGTAACTGTATATTGTGGCACAGTATTTTGCTATGTGAGCCGTGAGAGCTGAGAGCGTCAGTGATCTCTCCCCAAGACGGAGCTCATCCCACAGAGCTGTGTTCAGCACGACTCATTTTGCAGTAGCTCTGAACCCCGGCAACACGACATCCCAAAATGACCCCAAATGTGAGACGTTAACTAGAAACTCCTGTTTCAACTGTTTCCCTCTAGGCCCTCTCCTTTCTACTCCTCCTCTCACTGAGGAACTCCAAATGGTCCCAATTTTAGATAAATTGGAAGAGTTATTAGAAGGTTTTCGACTTCAGCAGGCGACCATCTTTATTAGCAGAAGAAGCACATATCTGTGTATATGTATTAATTAATGCCAATTCATGCCATCTCTGTATTACTTTGGCAGGGTTTCAACTGGATGCATTTAAGACCTTTTTAAGACAATTATGAAATGCATTTTAAGACCTATTTTACGTCCACATTGCCAAACAATGACAAAGAATGTGAAGGAAATGATGGTATTCCACGCCGGTTTCATTTGCGTTGACAGCATGATCACTACAATTTTTTCCCAAAAACACATTTAAAAGCAAGACTAAAAAAGGCACCTTTATATAAGTAACGTTAACTTCATCAATCAACCATTTTGAAGACCTGGTAATGTCATAATTGAAGATATTTTTTGAGCCTAAAATTCAGATTATTAAGCTTTCAGACTTTCTAAGACCCTGTGGGGGGTAATTTTAAAACCTGTGAATAGTGAAAATGTTTTTAGTCATTTTCTTTCAAAATACTCAATGTAATACATACTAAGGTAGTATAGTTCAGTTACACCCAGTGCCTGAATTGGACCACAAAAGGTGCCAGTACCCTGATTCAATACAACCCTAACCCTCGTTTTTTTTAACCTTTTTAACAAGAACATTGTCAGTGCTGTTTCTTCAGTGTTACGCTACCTGTATGTTAACATGGAGTGCTGTATGCAGGGTTTTAGAAATACTGACGTCCAGAACCTCAACTTGCCAGGGTGGGTTGGGGGGTTTGCATCAAAGCTCAAACTAGTGATTTGTAGGCAACTGTATACCCCTCGTAGAAAATACTGAGGTCCAGACCCTGGGGACCTCAGTGGCGGGTACAGCCATGCTCACCAGAGGTGTCACTCAATAAGAAGTAAGGGTACTCATGTGGTACTCAGTACTGGCCCATTTCAGGCACAGGTGACACCCTTAGGTATTAGCTGTGTGCTGTTCATTGAATTAGTAGTGGAAATGGAAACTATAACAAGTATATAACAATATATTGTTTCTATGCTGGAGGTTTCTCAGCATGCTTTTACCTACAGTGCCAGATGCCAGCTCAGAGCTACTGTCACTAACATCCAGAGCAGACAGACATG